TTTTTTATTCGGGCGACCCTTCTGCTTGTCGCGAATCATCAGCTGGGTTATTAACTCTTCGAGTAAATATTTATCAAGTGTGGGTTTAAACCCATATCTCTTCTGCCATCTATCTAGATATTTCATGCTACCTGGAAACTCTTTTTCCATGTGTTTAACCAACTCCTTCTGTTTTTTGAGTACTACTTTTTCGTCCATGTTAGTTTTGACTATGTGCCGTCGTGAATACAAATGAAGGATGTACAACAGTTTTTTGTATAACGACTGCTCAAGCAAGCTTCTACTCTTTTTACGGAGCGGCTTGAACCTGGGTGTATATCTCACCGTCGTTATACAATTTCAGTCCCCCACTTGTAGACACTAAGGCGGGTTTAGTAACAGAAAAAAAAAAGTCCAAAACAAGGTCTGTCAGTCCTCCCTAGGTTTTCCTATCTGCTTGGTCGACCCGTACTTCATCCAGTCAGAAAATCACCTTATTCCAACCACGTACTTTTGACCGGGCTTAAAAACATTTCACTACAGTCATCCAGTTAAGAAAGCACCTTATCTTAACAATAGTCATCGACTGCCACAGTCTCCTGCGGATACTGTACTACTCTGTTTCAGTTAGAGCTACTTTACTAACTGGGGTCTCCGCGACCTCTTGCCTAGTCTCAACAGAATGAAGATTTGTCTACTCACTCGTGTCGTTCTGGTGTTCTTCGTTCGAATTCCGTCGACAGCTCCAGCGAGGGACGATGGCGTGTACTGGCCACGGGAAAAGTGGACTTAGCGAGGCAGTTATCTACTCACCACCTCGGCTGTGCACAGTCTTGCAGTCCGCGTTATCGCCCCTCCACCGGGCTGCACCAGGAAACCGGCTTACGAAGGACCAAGTAAATGTCAGGGAATTTACCCTAAGACATCAAATTACATTAAATAAAGACACACCAAAACGAGACAGTTAAAGGTAATCACTTGCGCAAGGGAGAGAGAGCTGTCAGAGCCTGTCAATACCACTGGCTGAGCCTACTCTACTCTGCCAGCTCTTCTCCCAACAGCAGGTTTTATTGCAGTCATTTCACAGATAACAAGTACATTATGTTATATCACACAACGTTTACAATGATCACATGCTAACAATCTTTAGGCTAAACCACCCTCCCATTTCACACTTGATTACAGGCTCCAGGTGATAAACAATTTGGTCAGTTTTCTCCCAAAAACTTATGCTAACCACATGAGGGGAAAAACCCTTAGCTGTCTTCTCATGGGTGACTCAGTAGATTAGCTTAAAGAGTCAGAAGTTCTTGAACTAGGACATATGACATACATATGGAAAAACCCAAAAAGCAATTGTTGATAACTTTAATCACACACACAAAAGATAAAGGAATTTAAATGAACACACAAATGCTTATGCATAATATTTAAAATAACACATAAATTCTTTCACAATATGGTATAACATTTTTCTACTTCCATAAGTAAGAGGTGAGCCTGACCAAAGGCCAGGTGAGCAGAGGGGGAATTCATGCTTGCCATCTGCTATTCAAAAGAAATCAAATAAATGCGCAAACTGCAGCTTCAGTGTGCTATAGCAACCATAAAAATGAGAAATTACAGTTATTGTAATTCTGAAAATATTCAGTACAGAAAAGCAGTGGTGGATGTCAGGTTCAAAGCTTTAGAGGATGATGATAAAGAAAGACTGACACTGTTGATGAGGTGTGACATGTTGTATATTACATTCATATATTATACATATGTTATATAGACTTTGAGGATTGAGAGGGGGTGCAGTGATGAATGGTTAGGTGCATCAGAACCAGTTAGAATAAATTATCTGATGGAAACACAAATTGCCTTTAGCCTTAATTGTAGCTTCAGCAATTTCACAACACCTTTTTTCTGTAAGCACGATCATAAGTGACTGTAAATATGTCCAGCTGGTATTTCATCATGACTTGCATAATGCATGTTTTTAATATTGCTGTCTTCACTGATCATTTAAAAATCCTGAATGTGCCAGAAACAAGTCCATAATGTAAATACTGGACCAATGCCAACAAGTGCATGTAAATAACAGATTGTACACTGAAGTATGTGCATGTGCATTAAAACAGGATACCAGATTTATATCTTGTAAAATAATGCATTTTGTTTTCCCTCATACTAAAGGCAATGTCAAAATTGTATTGATGCACACTTCATCTAATTATAAGGCACTTTCTAAAATGCAAACCTTGAAGAAAGACTTTAGTGTGTTGTTTGTTTCTTTGGTTATACTAGTTAGGTTCTTGCTTTTGCCATCTGAAAACTTATACATCTTGTGCCCCCAAGAAAAATTATAAATCATGTGCCCCCAAGAAATCATGTATATGAATACTAGAGATGTGAACATTAAGGTACACTTTATTTTCCCAGAGGAGAAATTGTCCCCTGCATTTGACCCACCCTTCCATGCCACAGGAGAAACCATTCGGGAGCAAAGGGCACTGCCAGGGAACTGTGACATGGTCAGAACTACTTTAACTGGAAGATTTTACCTACTGTGTATGTTTTGTGTTGATGGGGACCCCAGACACAAGAGAAAATGCAAACTTCACAGAGAAAAAGCCCTGCTGTTTTCCATTACCTTTGTACTAACTGCCTCCTCATTGCTTAAACATTAGGTTTTGTGTTCTACAAATGAAGCCTTATTTCTTTCTTTGTCATGACTATTTTAAGAGCTTAAGTGAAAAAGCATCATTTGTATTTTAAAACAACAATGGATTTAAAATTGTCATTTCACATTGCAGTAAAATATTGAGTTTTTAGTGCAATTGCAAAGTGTGTTAGTTACGAGTATTACCACGAGTACTGTGCTGAGTTGCTGCCATAATGAAAAGAAATAGGATGTTGTTACATGTAAGATGCATGCAGGGTCCATTCCCTGGAAACAGAAGGAGATACTGGTTTAAAACGCACTGGGACATCCTCATTCCTCTGCTCTTTGGTAGTGTGGAATGTGTAATGCAAAACCTGCCTGAGGACTCGATAAGGCTATCAGCTCAACGTAACACACCAATGATGCTCTGTCCTGTGCTCGCTGTTGTGGTTAAATAGAAACAGACAGGGTGCACACACGCACAAATACAAGCGCGCACACAAACACACGCACACAAACACATGCAAACACACACACACACACACACTAGCACATTAAAGCTATCAAATACCCTGATGGAGGCAGCAGAAATGTCGACACTGAACAAATGCAATACATCGTTTAGAGATAAAGTTACATATGTTCGGAAGAAGAAACATTTTTGCTCTTTAATGATACCCTCATGCTGTAGCTTCCCATATCTTAAATTTCTATTTTTAACAGTGTTTCTCAAACTGTGGTACCTCTGTAGTTATAATATTTGTTTAATTTAGAGTAAATTAAATTCACATTTTTGTTTGTTGATCAAAAATACTATAGCAATTGAGTAGTCATCTTCTAGTGTACATTACAATAATACCTTTCATACCTTATACCTTTATATCTTTATATACCCATCCAAAAATCACAGACACTTTGTCATGCTTGTGGAGCCAAGCATTCAACTTCAGTGACTGAGCTGATAGTGAGGGTTATTACTGATGACGAAAGACTGAGCGAAAACAGTCACACCCCCCACCCTGCTTCTCTCCCCCTCTCCTTCCATCTCCCTGCTCCCCAGATCTCCCTCCCTCCCCCCTCATCTCTCTCTCTTTTTGTCTTTTTGTCTCTCTGTCTTCTTCTCCCTCTCACTCACTTGCAACCCCCAGTCATCATAGTGATTGGTGCATTGATGTCTGTTCATGTTGGGCCTGAACTGCAGCTGGGCGCCCACCACCAGCAAAGAGAAAGAGACTGGAACAGAATGGAATTTGAAACGTTTTAGCTAAAAATGTTTCCACAGTCAAGGTGTTTTTTGCAGAAACGTTTCAGATTTCGTTTCGTTCTCCGACAACGATAAAGAAGATGGAGTTCAGCATAAGATGATGTCTGAGCTGTTGGAAAGACAACCAAGTGACGTCAGTGCCAGATGTTTTGTATTCAGTTCAACAAACAACTGTAACTGCGTCTGTGTCTGAACTTGTCAGCAGGAATGTCAAGATTATTCGGAAATAATTTTTAAACACAGTATTAATAACTGTGATTAGTTTAACAGGCTTGACTCCAAAAGGTAAACCTAAATGTGAAGTGCTGTTTTATGTCTGTATATGTCACATTAACTTTACTTTATCATTCAGAGAATTTGATTTCATAAAGTTACACATACTGGAAGAATGGTAACGTATTAAGACACTGGAAATGAAAGAAAATGAAGGATTTCACTGATGTTTGGTTATGGTGTCAATAGGCCTATCACAATAATCACTATATCGCCTGATTGTTCAATAAATGATAGCTAGAACAATATATTTTGGGTCTCATAATTTATTGTGTGGAGGGATGGGTATTTTTGTTGCAATAGCTTTGAATTTTCTGCTATTTTTTATGTAATATGGTAAGATTTGAACTGTAGAGGGATGAAAAAATAACTTCCAGGACTAAGTATTGGTTAATTCTGCTATTTATTTGTTATAGTTTATGCTTTTTATTATGCATATATACTGATTATAGAAAATGGTTTACTGGGATTATCCTGCTTTATTGTTAGTGTGTCAGTAACATAGAGTAATTTCAGTATAATCATTATCTATCAAGACTATTTCAGCTCCCACCCAGAAGCCATTTTTTCAACTACAATTAATTATTATGATGTCAGTAATCATGAACAATTGTTATATTGTGATGATTCTTTCTACATTATAGGGCATATCCATAAACTGGCATGAAGTATAAAGCATTAAAGTTTACGGTATTCTTCAATTATTCAATAACAAAACGTTCTGCTGGACTATATTTAGATAAACTTTACAACCTTCTCTCCACCTTAAAGCTCAAAAGAGTAAATTTTGTGTAATATGATATATGATAATATATGATTTTCTTTGTTTTGTAGAGCACACAGTGTGATAGGGGTAAGACTGCCTCATGCGCTGGGCCTCCTCTGTGTTCGGGCCCCCTCCTACCCCCCTCCTGCCAACGTAAGTGGGATGTCCCAGGTGTGTCTGCTGCTGGCCTTGCTCCCACTCTGCAGCTTCACCAAGGTTTGACTCAACAGCAAACTACAAAATCACCTCCAGAATCCCAATGTCTTTGAACCTTCATTGTGTCTGATGTACTGTTGGCTGTTGTACCGTAGGTCTCCTCCACAAACTCCCTCAGGCTCGTGCAGGAGCAGTGGAGCAGCTACAAGGACCAATGTCTCGACTTCATCAACACAACGCCCCCAGCTACGGGTCAGAAACTACCCTTTACCTGTCTGTTCTGTTTTCAAAATGTGAAAGGTGGAGGCAGTAGAATTTTAATGAGATGCTGTGGTCCTAACCTTCGCAAATAACTCTCTTTATCCCAATTGTTCATGTGCATGAATCTGCAAGTTTGGACATCTGTACAGCTTTGTCACATTTAGGCACAATCCACCTACTGTCACTACAAAGTATCATTAGGCGCCCTATACTCTAAAAACAAAACTGACTTCAATACAAATTATATTCTCTAACCATTAACAAATTATGAGATATAATTATTGAATCTATTGAATATACTAGATAATGATTAAACCACAGGCTCTCTAACCTGTAGCTCAGGAGTGACTAGTAACTCTCACTAATACATTGAGAATAGCATCTAGCTATACCCCATCTAAGACTAGCTGTCACTGTTATATTTCTTCAATTTATTGCAAACTCTAACAGAAGTAGCCTTTTGCCAGTTTCATTTAGGGACAACAGTTTGGAGACCCCTGGTTTAAACATTTTACCTTGATAATAAGGTATGTAAGGTAAGGATGTGACTGGTTTACAGTGGCTAATACTCAGGAGAACACAGCAGCAGAATATGAGTCCCCTGCTCTCTCCTCTGACATTTCTGTAACACTCATAATTAGTCATGTGATTGAACAGTGTTTTGATCGAGTCTCTTGTATTTCAGGGCTTGTTTGTAACCGCACGTTCGACCAGTACGCCTGCTGGCCCGATGGGACCCCCGGATCCACAGTCAATGTGTCCTGCCCCTGGTTTCTGCCCTGGTACCGTAAGGGTCAGTGTCTCATTGATTCAGACTCACTGTCTATTTTAGAGGACAGGTGTTACAGTAGACACAGCAGTGATGTGCAAGGCGAGGACACCCCCCATGTTGCTGATATTTACAGTAACTGTGTAGAATAGTGGAAAATGCTTTTAAAACACAATAACGTCTCAAACAAAAACAAAAAATCTGTGTGATAAACAAAAGCACAATTTAAAGTACAAATATAAAGAGTTTGATGCAGTCTCGATCAATCATCACCTTTAAGAAGTAAAAATAGGCAATCCGCTTTTGCATATCAGAAGTGATGACATCTCTGTTAAGGCTTTTGGTCACATGAAAATAACACATTGTCAAGGTTACTACTCTGTCTCCTGTCAGATCAGATTAAATAAATGATGGGCATTTTTAGTTATCTAGTCATTATTTTCAATGTACCTTAATTGTCATTTTTAGTGCAGTGCTTATGAAGGTGCATTATAGGACTTAATATTGAGAGATGTTACAGTTTACCGCGGGGCAGCTGTGGCTACAGTAGTAACTTACCACCACTGAGTATGGAGTGAATAAACAATGACCACAGTGTAGTGTTTTTGTGAGGCTGTGTTGATCTTGCAAAGCTCATTTCAAGTGTGAGGCATTATTAATGTTTTACAACTATTTTTAGATGTAAGTTGTATGAGAAGCAATGTCCTCGGGTGTCAGTGACTCACCTGATTGAGCACCCACTCACCATGAGTTTTTGATACATTTTAAATATTTTATTCTTTCAACAGGGTAGATGCTGTTTTTATTTTTTCTTTACCCATGGAAATGTTCTACACCCAAACTGCCTTTAATCACATACAATATATGCAGAAACTCTGTATAAAATATAGAACTTATAAAAGATAGAATAGATAAATACACATTACCCATGGCAAAGCTCTAAGCATCTATATATAATGCATAATTAGGCTTTTATTCTGACCAGAGCCAGTACTTTGTGAATGTTATTTTCTGTGTTTAAATGGAAAATAATGCCTCTGTATTTTCACAATTATTATGGCTGTCTTTTACTCCAACCTGATTATAGCTAAACCACTGTACCAATTACTGGAGAAGAGGCAAAGAAACACTTCTGTTGTGCTTCCCAAATAACATTAAAAGCATACAAAACATTAGACAATATCTCAGTGAAGATCTGCATTTAAACTTGAAGAGAACATAGCTCTAAGTCCTAAATAATTCACTGAAATAAACCAGTGACGTCAGTGCACCTAAAAGCTCATGTACCTCTGTATTTCACTGAGGACGTATCTGCTGCTAAATGAGACACTGTTTGCTATGGTAACACAGATCCTCGTCCTTCAGTGTGAAAGGAAATGACTTCTGTTTTAGATGTGCTCTACATTGAAAAAGGATTTTTACAGAAAAGGAGTGTGTTAGTGTAGGTTTAGATTACTCATCCTTATTATTTTGTGTGTATTATATTGTAGTGGTCTGTCCTCAGTGCGTACATCGTGTAGTGAGTTTCCTCCAGCAGCTCCAGATGTGGTAAATGAGTGTGAACTCAGCTTGTCCTCTCTATTAACTGCTGTCTTATGGTTTTGTTTTCTCCTGGTTTGAAGGCTGCCCTGTACTAGGAAGCTATGAATATGTTGTGTAGGTGTGATGTTGGAAATTAGCCGATGTTTTCAAATAATCTCCATTCAAACATTATTATTATTATTAAGGATACACAGTGCAAGCATATGGTCAATAGATTAAAAAAATAATAAACATAATGAATATAATTGTATATAATTTTAAAATATGTATTTATTTTATGATTAGCACAAATAATTGTAATTTTATTTTAATTTTTTTTCCTTCATTGTATTTGTATTGTATGTAATTGTATTGATATGTTTATTTTGGATGAAAGTGTAAGTAAAAGTATAATAAGAATTTTGTAGATGAAGAAAAAAAATTTAATATCACCAGAATATGATATTATTGTGATTATTTTATTATGATTATTTTATATTTTTTTGTATGTGTGAACAGTCCAGAAAGGCCTGGTGTACAGGAGCTGCAGTGAGGAGGGCCTTTGGTCCAAGAAGAACACATCCGAATGTGAGGACGACCCAGCTGAGGTGTGCTCAATCACTTTCATTATGATGTTATTACAAAATAGTTATTGCAGGTGTTTGAAGAATTTAATTTTTGTTCACTATTTTAATTAAAGAGCCCATATTAACACACAAATCCTGCATACTTACTCTGAATTCTTCTCTCAAACTACACTCTGTTCCACTTTGTCATTATTAACAAAGTGTGCCACTGCTTTTAAACTCCACACACCTTCACTAAAGTCATTTGAATAATTTCAGTACTGGAATTGCCAATCTCTACTGAACAGAAGGTACAAGGTAGCTGTTAAGTTGAAAACTACTGCCAGAGGTGGGACCAAATCTTGGATTTTTAAGTCTCAAGTAAGTCTCAAGTCTTTGACCTCAAGTCCAGGTCAACTCCCAAGTCAAATACAGGCAAGTCCAATCTCGAGTCACCGGCCCGTAAATCCAAGTTAAGTCCAAGTCATCTGCTTTGAGCTTCAAGTCGAGTACCAAGTCTTAGACCATGTTATGAAGTCAAGTCTCAAGTCCTAAAAATAGTGACTCAAGTCTGACTCAAGTCCAAGTCACAACTTCCAAGTCCCCACCTCTGACTACTGCTTCATGACATCACAAGGTGGTTTGGTTTGAGATGTAGACAGACTAATAATTAAGGGTTACTTAAACATGTGTGAATGAAACAAAGTGCAACATATATTTTGAAGGAGTTAACAACATTATAACATCGCTTAAAGGTCACAAGAGTCATTTTGTGTAATATAGGACCTTTAATGAGGAAACCTCCCATCTTTTTAGGAACATAAGATCATGTTGTGAGAAGAGAGATGAGTAACTGACTTTGTCCTCTGCAGCAGGAGTATGGGCGCGTCCTAAACCAATTATGGATCATGTACACAGTGGGCTACTCTCTCTCCCTGGGTGCGCTGCTGCTGGCACTGGCCATCCTCATCGTTTTCAGGTAAAGACTGCACATGGGACAGTCATGGAGGAACAGAGAACAAGGCTTGTCACCATAAGTACTTTTAACAATATATTTTAGGGGCTCAGTATTTATATATTTGTTTGTCCTAGTAAAATGGCAAATTGTTCGATACATGTATTTAATTTTTTTTCAGTTTAAATTTTTCAAGGACACAACAGCAGTATTCACCTGGTAGAGCTGCTGCCTTTGCGTCAGTGGTAGAACACTCTACACATACTAACTATCCAAGTGGTGTGTGTCATTTGATGTGGTTAGAAAAGTTTTTTTTTTTTGCTAGGATGATCAGACCAGTTGTTTTTGTAGTTTTTATATAAGTAGTATAAACAGGGGAGTGACTGGGGGAACAAAGGGGTCTGTTGTCCCCAGTGTCTTAGGGGCCCAGAATTGGAACCTGTACCGATTAATTAATATTTGAGGAGGGTCCATGTGAGTCTTCTTGCCCTGGGCCCCCAAATTTCTTTTGGCAGGCCTGGGTATAAAGGTTTGTTTTTGTTTTGTTTTTTTGGATGTTTTTGTTATTTTCTTTCTTACATACTTTTTTTTTTTTTTCCAATTTCACCTCCATTAGCTGTAAAAGCAAAGATGTCAATTAGCATTTGCAATAATAATAATATCTCTTGGCTTGGATTATTCTTAGCAGACACTGATTTGTATTTGACAGAGCTTATTACATATAACACTTTAAAATTTGTTACTGGGACTGAGCGAGAACTCAGAATGGGGTAATTTGAAGTTTTAAAGTGACGCTTCATCCTGTGTTTTCAGGAAACTCCACTGCATGAGAAACAACATCCACATGAACCTGTTTGCGTCGTTCATCCTGAGAGCCATGTCCATTTTGGTGAAAGATGCTCTGCTCACCCTCACACTCGACCCTCGCAAAAGTAGCAGCACTCGGTTGCGCTCCTGGGCCAACATACCGGTGAGAACAAGTTAATTTCAAGAGAACACATTTTAATATCCACTGTGACTTTTATTACAGATTTCTTGTTTAAAGGTCCCATATTGCACTAAATTGATTTTTGTGATCTTTAAGTCATGTTATAATGCTCTTAGGTCATCAAAATCATACCAAGTGTTCACATGTTTGAGTAATCCTTTATTCTTAGTCTGTCTACATCTCCAAAGCTCAAAATGCTCTGTTCCACCTTGTGATGTCATGTAGTGGTAGTTTTCAACTTAACATCTACCTTTTACCTTTTGTTCAGCAGAGAGGGGAAATTCTAGGACTGAAATGATCCAAATGAGTGATATCCAAAGTGTATGAAGTTTAAAAATACATTGGAGCACATCCTGTATGGCCACATGATATCACAAGGTGGGAGTTGTGTTTTTTGTTAACCCTGCATATTCAAACTCAGTTCTCTCACTCTATTCTACCTTGTTAAGTCATGTGGTAATAAAGAAAGTGCCCCGCTGTGTTTTTAAACTCCATACACTTCCTTTCACTAGAATAATTTGGGTGATTTTAGCCCTGAAATAACCAATCTCTACACAACTAAGAAAAGGTAAAAGGTGTCTGTTAATTTGAAAACTGCTGCTTCACGACATCACAAGGTGGAACAGAGGATTTTGTGTTTTGAAGATGTAGTCGGACTAATAATAAATGATTCCTCGAACATGTTTGAAGAAAACAATATTTTAATGTGGCTAAAAGCTCAGAGGATTTTGCATAATATAGGACCTTTAACTGAAAATCCTTAACCTTGTTCCATAGGAGCCCATATAGATTTATGTTCACGGGGCTACTCATATCAGTCAGATTATTAATGTCAGAACACATCACTTACTGTAAAATATGCCCCTGCATTGGTTACAGGCTTATTAAATCAAATGGGCACCTTTTGGACCATCTGTGGAATGTAATTAAATAAAAGGTTAGAGATTGGCATATGAATACTCTTGCCTTGTGTGTTGATGGTGTATCAGGCGGTGATGTGGTGCAGAGGAGCCATGGTGATGATGCAGTACAGTGTCATGGCCAATAATTACTGGCTCTTAGTGGAGGGCATCTACCTGCACAGTCTGCTCGTCATCACCGTGTTCAGTGAGAGGAAGTACTTCTACATCTATCTGGCCATTGGCTGGGGTGAGTCAATGTTTATTCATGTTAAAGCTGCACTATGTAACATTTCTGCTTGTCTCAATGGAGATATTATTGCTTTGACAGTAGCTGATGCTAATAGGCGAAGTTACAGGTCATATCTTTGGACTGCTGTTTTTCAAGGTATTTTTGAGAAATAAAAACACTAGTAATTGAATGAAGATAGGTATGTGTAATGTCACACTGTGGAATATTTCAGGCAAAGACATAATATCTCCCTGGAGACAAGCAGGTGCTGTAACCCTCTCAGAAAGGTTGCATAGCCTATCGTTAAGTATGTCTACATGTTTGGAATTTAATGTGTTCCCCAATGTTACAACTGTAAAATAAGTTATATGTCTGGGTTCAGAAAAAATTTACTTTTATTAAATGCACAATATCTACTGCTATAACAACCCCTGTATTAGTGAAAAGTAATGACTAACTTTCACCTCTGCAATAAATGACTATGAGTTAGCTTGAAGAATGTGTGCCTGTGCTGTACTATATCTAGGATATATGAAGAAGGTAGCTTTTGTTTATCACTGAAGAACATGGTATGAGCAAAAAGCATTGCTGCTGAAAAGAGATTAATTGTACACATTCAAAGTTCTCCTTCAGCTCCAATCCTCTTGTGTAAATGTATTTAGACAACTTCCCTTCCCTTGATAATATAAACATTTGCTAAACTCTAGCAGAAGCATACAGTAAAAACAACTGAGCATTTTGCTGTAATAACCAAAGGCCGAACAGTGTCAGTTTGAGCACCATTGACTTTGTCCACTCTCACTCTCAGGTGCACCTCTCATCTTTGTGTCTCCGTGGATTACCGTCAAATACCTTTATGAGAATGAGGAGTAAGTATAATCTTTCCTAATACATTATGGATTTTTTATAATAATTGTATGACCCTGCAGTATTAAGGCTCATAGACTGGCCTTTGCCTCTCTCTCACTGATTTCATCAATATGTGATTAGGCCACTGAGCACAGTAGCATAGTGAAATCTGCAGTTCTGCATTATCTACATGGGAAAGAAATAAACAATAACAATTATTTCGAGAAAAATCTAACTTTTCCCTCTCTAAAAGATCTTCCCTTTCTTTGTTTTTCAGAAACAAATTAGATTGTTTTTCTGCTAAAATAACTTTAGGTACATATTTCTGTGTTGCCATGTTTGTTTTGGTTTGTTTGGGAGTTTCATCTTTGGATTTCACCCAAACCAAAATTCTGCTCTGTGATTGTTACAATCTCCGGCTCTCCTCGTCCCAAAAGCACCAAGAGGAGCTTGCCAAGATTCTTGTGAGTTTGTGAACTCAGTTTGTAAACTCACACACTCACATCTTGCTGAGCAAGGTCATTTTGTCCAGTGATAAGTGTTTCTTAAGTGCAGCTATTTGTCATTCATCCAAACCCATTAACAAAGTGTGCTTATACATACACATGTGCAGGTGCTGGGAGAGAAACACTAATATGGGATATTGGTGGATCATACGCTCTCCAATTCTCTTTGCATGTTTGGTAAGTTTAAACATGTTGACTATTTTGCTAACAGTTTTAAGTTCAGAGTTGACAAGATAGTTACTTTACACGCTTCATTCAAACATAAATAATGCAACAGAGACGTTGAAGAAGCGCAGAGCCAGTGTCAGAGAACACTCAAGAAGTTGTTAGATTTCCAAGTTTGGATCTTGGCAGTTGTGTGTGTATCACATGTTTTATTGACACAGGCCAAAGTGACGGTAAAGCTGTGTAACACGTAGCATTGCGTCAATTGCAGCTGCACATGGCAAGCCTTTTATAAGCACAGCAGAAACATCTTTATTTTCAGTCCATTGTATATACAGGTGGGCGTTTTTGCACAAGGTTATATGTGTATCTGGAGTAGCTTCTCTCAGTGAGAAATGCCATTGTCAGTTTTACACATAAAATAAATGTTAGCCTTTTTTTGCAGATAAACTTCTTCATATTCATCAGGATTATCAAAATACTGATGTCTAAACTTCGAGCGCACCAGATGAGGTACACGGACTACAAATTCAGGTGAGAGAAGTTGACCCCCAGGAATACATTAACAATAATTGTAAACCCATTTCCGGGAGTAGTGCACAATCCAAGCAATCAAGCATTCATTATCTGCAGGTTAGCAAAGTCCACCCTGACGCTGATCCCTCTTTTGGGGATTCACGCCATCCTCTTCACATTTGTCATAGATGAGTCGGTCCCCAAAGGCTCCATGCTGCGCCTCATTCGCCTCTTCTGTGACCTCCTCTTCAACTCCTTCCAGGTCAGAGCTTTACTGTGCTCCCCTTTCTTTTTCACTGCATGAGGGTCTGAAATGTTATCATGTTTCAGATATAGAATATATTCCCTTTGGATCAGTATAACCTTTCATCAAGAAGAGTATAATATAACAAATAGTAGTAGTTCAAGAGGGAACTACTTAATGTTTTATAAAAAAATAAAATAAAAAAAACTCTGTGAATATATTTTCTAAGTATATTAGAAACAATTAGAATTAAACACAATTATTAAGACTTTGTTGAAATGATTTAAGGATTATTGTTCCCAATTTTAAACAATGAGTGGCATACAGTTATCCCCACCCACATCTCCCCCTCTCTCACTTTGATGTTGAACGACAGAGAAAAAAAGAAGGACAGTAACGACTCATTGGATAAAATTGTGTGTCTGTCATGATGCAGGGCTTACTGTTCAAACTAAATGCATCTTTAACTCTATTTGGACCATTTATTTTATTATATTATCCTGTGCATGTCTGAAATAAATTCCTCTTTTTCCCACTGCCATAATTGCATCAATAAGCTAAAATAAACTGTATGTTGTTTTTAGTCTCTATTCTACACCATTGTTAGTAAAGACTTCAAAGTGATTTAAATGTACATTTCTTATTGTTGAAGGGCCTGCTTGTTGCCATCCTCTACTGCTTTGTCAACAAAGAGGTGAGCTGTTAAGTTACATGTTCTCCTGTTTTCTTGCCTCTTGCAGACTCCTTTATCTTCATTAGAGTCCTGTTACCTTCACAAATTGCACCTTTTATCTGTAAGGCAATCTGTGTTCACTGTCTTTGCTCCCCTGCCTATGATGTGCCAGCATCAGTTAACATCTAACCCTTTTAAAAGCAGGCATCCATCAAAAGGGGCACAGGGACTGCTCTAATCTCTGTCTGTATCTGTCTGTGGTTGACTTTTCCCATCATGCCGCAGGTGCAATCGGAGATGCTGAAGAAGTGGAAGCGCTGGAAGTTGGGCAAGGACATTGACGAGGAATACCGACACACATACAGCCAAACGCCACATGTCAAGAGCGGCAGCATCGCCACGGGAAACCTGGACCCAAGCTGCGAGTCACCTCATCTCACCAAAACTGCCCGAGGTGGCCATTGCCCCAACGCACCTGAGGAGAACCGAAGATTAGTGGTGTGCTACAGTAACGGGACGGGGAAAAGTCGCTCTCCAAAAAGCAGGCACATGCTGCAGTTCTCCTTCCTACCACTACGGGGTGCTGCCAGTCGGGCCTGCACAACCATAGAGGACATTTGTCTCGAAGAAAGAGTGCAATGCCGAATTGGGTCACTAGAAGGAGAGGAGACCAGTGTCTAGAATGGACTTTTACCTAAAAAAAAAAACAGCATTAATGACTTTCAAAACTGCATGCAAAAGAGCAGTAAACACACTTTCCTACTGCAAAATATTAATTGTGTCGCCTACTTCTGTGAACTTACGACGAAAGGAATGATTTATCTATTAAATTATTGTGCAAGGTGTAAGTGCACTGCAGTACTGTGTAAAAGGTTTTGGTATGTGTGTTTGTGTGTGTATATGTGAATATGGGGTGGGGGGGGTTTAATTTTAAGTTAGGTTAGGGTTTAAGTTAAATTTAAACAATGGCAATGGTTAATATCTGTCTCTAGAAAATTTTATTGGGACTTGTAATAACTAAAGCTACTCAGTGCCACTTTGACTGGGTGTTTAGACTTGACTCACGCATGTTTCCCAAGATGTTCAATTGATAAACTTTATTGATTACAATAACTATATCAAGGAGTCACATGGATTAGCGGGGTCAAAACCATGTGCTCACCCGGTCTTAGACACCTGCACAACTGAGCCCACCCATATACACACACACATGCAACACACAGGCCAGAGTCCAGTTGTTCACTTTGGTCATCTTAGGTGAGACTCTTACTGTGCCTCTTTCAAAAGGCTCAGTTTTGTGATCAGACTTTTCACAACACTTGTCTTTGTTTTCACACATTCAGATCAAACAAATTCTCCTTTATCTACAAAGTTCGGCTTAATCTTGCCCAGCCAGCAACCATGAGCAAAGAGAAGCTGTAGACTCCACTATCAACACAATCTCTCTTGGAACAAGAGTTTTCCTTATTCCACCTTTGGCGCTCATGCAGCAGTGGGAGATACTCGTGTATCCATCCTTTCCAAAGTGGTCATAAATATACTGAGTCTGTTTCCATGTTCTTGAGTAACCATCTGTGGCATTAAACAGGCACACAGGTAACACAAGCTTGATCCAATGATATACAGGCTCCCCCTTGATGAGAGGCTGAAGGTGAAAGGCTCTTTGAATTTTATTGTGGGCCACAATGATTTCTGCTGCTGTTGTAATGTTTGCCTCATCACTCTATGATGTGGACTACACCTCCATCTAATCTGTTCAGTTCATTTGGTGGGACTGATGAAATGCCCTGTCCTTCTGAAACCTTAGACCATGCATTCTTCTAGTTTTTGAGGTTGTCCACTTGTGTACTAATGGAGGTAATATAGACAGCCGTTTTGCTTTCCACACAGTGCTGAAAGGTTTGAAAGGAGAGGGGATTTCCATTAAAAAACAGGAATTTCCTTATTGGCAGAGTTGGAATTATGTTGTTGGACAAGAAGCACCGTTATCTGGTTTTGTTTGTGTAACAGGTCGAACAATTGTTTTCTTGATTTTGAGTCAATGGAACACAGTGACGGAGTTCATGCTTTGTTTGCGCTTGCATTTGTTCCACTTTTGAATGATTTATTGTGGCACTGTGGGCACATTGTGTGTTGTGTTGTCATCATCATCATCATATACAAACAGTTCATTGGTCCCATTGGTGTTTCTCTTAGGATAAAAAAAACATTTGCGTTTGGATTAAGGGTTTTACCATTACCTTTAGACTCTGCACCAGTTCATTCACATTTCATTTGTTGCAGTGCAGCACCCATCCTCCTTCATAAAAACAGCAAGCATGTCCAGTTCAAGTTGCTCTTGTTTTTACTTCGGTTGTGCTATTTTCTCCTTCAAATAATGCTTCTCTTTAAAGGCAGCAGGGTACGCCTCTAGTACAGCCCTTTCCTCTTCAGTTTGAAGCTGTTTACTTGAAATAGAGGAGGGTTATGTTTCTTGAGCTATGAGTATTGTAGCTTTTTGATCATTTGCAGAAGAATTTCTATAGTTACACTGTCAGATGACACCTCCGCTTCGATCAGGGTCAAAGCATCCATGTTATCCACAATCGTCACATCAGCATCAGTGTTTGTCAACACATTCACTTCATCAATAAATTCACTGACACTCAGCATTTCTACTTTATGCCATACAACATGTTTTTCTGACTCTTCAAACCCAACAAAAAATCATGAATTGTTTGAATTCCATTGCATACACTTTTGTATTTGTCAAATGTATGGTTCACTTTTTTTTTTCAAGATTTCTTTTATTTAAGAGAGCCTTTGTGGTTAGTTGTCATTGTCATTTAAATCAATGCATAATGATGTGTATGCATTGACCGCATTTTTGTCACCATTGGGCTCCTTATCTTTTGCTTTACGGACAGTTTTTTTCTGTATCATAACCCATACTATCGGATAGCAGTGTTAAAGAATCACTGGTCAGACCCAAAAAGTATTTTATTCACAAAACTAGTCTTGGCAGGGGGATAGATTCCAGGGGAGGCAGGACAGGTCCGGGTTGGATGCAGATGGGAGGTCTGTGGAGATTGGAGGCTGACCGGAGGCTTACAGAAACTGGTGGCAACAGGATGAGGCTGGCTCCAAACGAAGTGCACTGGGATGACGGAACAATCTGGCACTGGAGAGCAGGTCAGTGGGTCTTTTATTGTAGGAGATGATTACTTGATGAAGAACAGGAGTGGAGCTCAGCAGGTGCATGATTGGGACCCGCCCAGGAAATGACAAACAAGGTAAGGAAATGCAGAGAGAGGGAGCAGGGAAAGGAGGGGTAGGAGGAGCAGGGAGAAACCCTCACAAGCAGTGGCTTGGAATTTGCAATTTAATTTTGTGCATTTTCCACACATGTTTCCACATTTAGTGCTAGGTTGTAGAAAAGACCCTCCTGTGTGTTTGAATGGCTGACTAACCTGACATAGTGTTTTATTCCAATTTCATTCATAAACTTGTTTACGTTTACATTGACAATTCTTTCATTCAATGCCAAGCAAGTTTTTGACTTGGGCAGCGACTAAAGTTACTCAATGCCACTTTGTTTAGAATTGATGTGCACACGCCCAAGACGTTCAATTAACTTCATTGATTACAATAACAAGGAACGACATGGCTTAGTGTGGTCAAAACTGTGTGCCCACCCAGTCTCAGACACCTGCACAACTGAGCCCACCCGTATACACACATGTGCAATACACAGACACACACGCACCACACCCACCCATGACACACACATTCATTCATAAAATACTCCTCTGTTACACTCAAATACAGGCTACATGCAGAATGGCTGGAACAGAACTTAACATCTAAACTCCACTCACAATCACACTACAAATAGAGCTACTAAGAACCTGGAGGACAAAAATGACATGTACATGTACAGGGCAGTACAGTGTGATGTCACAGTAGTATTTGAAATAGCAGTGGCCACTGGAGGCAGGACACACTTGGTTTTTGATAATTTTGTAACAAAAGGTTGCTAATTTACCTAGTTTGCACTAAAATTGCCAAAAAGGACTATGAACAGTAGACAATGGTGTTTAGTTCAACTATAATAAAGTCAATATAATGTCCCCCAAAATGATAAAAACTGAACATGAGTGTGAGTGGGTGTGTGTATCCAGATCATTGTTTGGACAAGCTAACTTATAGGAAAAATAGTTTTGTCATATTTTTCAGTGTTGTAAGAATTGTAAGAGACCAGTGCCTTGGCAAGGGTCTTTGAGAGCTTTGACGATTTTGGTTGTTTGTTTTTGACAATTTATTTGTAAAGTCAGGCAAATGTATTTTTTTACAATTATATTTTCAGCGAATGGTTTTCTTGCATACACCTTGTCTAAATTCTTTGCACAGTACTGTACGTGGGGTGCTTTTGAAGGGCCAAACTCTGAGCCTCTTTTATTTTTTCATTGTCATATATTGCTGCTTGTGTTGTGGTGTATTTGACAAAGGTTCTTCTGTGCAAATGCCAACTTGTTTTAATTTTATTTTTTAAGACGAGGCACATCTGTAAAAAAAAACTAAAGTAATTCAAGACACTAAATGAATTCACCATTGTCACTGTAAATTGACTTCTTTTGTCCCAGTTTGAACACTTTTGAATGTATATTAATAAACTACAGAAGCTACTATGGTGACTGAAAGACAGTACTCAGTGACTTTGAATTTCATACATCTATTTTTTCCCACCTTATCCGGGGCCAGGTCACAGGACTCAACATTTTATTTTTAACTATAAAATGTTATTGATTTTAGGTCATTGCAATCAAAGTTATAGCTTTCCAAGTGAAATTATTGCATATAAATTAAGTACAGAAGATTGGCTACACATCGCAGGGTGCCCACATGAAACAGTATAGAAAAAGCAAAGTACGTTGAATGATGTGATGGGACAAGAATGGACAGACTCAGCAAATTTAAGATCTTATAATAACTGCTATAACACCATATTATTGGAATAGGAAAGGGTGTCAAAATATTACAACTGTGACCACCAGTACACCTAAAAAACCTTGATTTCTTTGCACAAAATAAATGTATATAAATCAAACTTTTTTATAAATCATGTGGCATCAATGAAAAAGTGGAACATTATCTGAATAATTGTGAAAAGGGACAGGAGTCTAAATGGCTGCGCAGAGCGAAATATTTACTTGCGCCATCACAAGAAGTTCATTTTATATGTTCTTTATTTTTTGTGCTGTTGAGATATGTATTTAATATGAAGGCTTGACACATGACACATCCGCTGCTCTTAATTTAAAAAAAACTTAAATTGTTTCGTGTCATAACCAGTCTCAATGGATCCAATTAAAAGAAATTGTGTCAGAAAAACATCTCGCCTTATAATGACAGTTTGCTTTATAAGTGGTGTGAGGCTTTGTCTGTTGTTGTCAATGAACATTTTCAGTTTGTCGTTTCGATATCAGATAGCACATGTGTCAAGTATTCATGAGCACACACAAAGATTACTGCAGTAAATTAAAATGAAAAAATGTTTAAATGAGTTGTGTGTATAGAATTACTAGATTTATGCATGGTAACAATGTGTCAAAGGGGGAGGGTTTCATATAAGGAAAGAATCTGAAAAAGCCCATCTGTTTGTACATATATTATACTACTGAAATAGTAAGACACTGCACAATACAGCCTATATTCAGTCTTGCGGAGTAATTGCTGCTTTTTTATATCTTACATGTGCACCATTGGGAATATTGTGAGTCCTCTGAGATTGTTTATATCTGCTTCATATTAAGGTTATTTCAGTTATAGTTAAGACGACTGACACTTGGGATGCATTCACACATTACAATGACTTGCATTCATTGCCTGGAAACTGATCCTAACCTTATCAATATAATATACTTGCCTAAAACCTTAACCTCAGCCTGTTTTAACCCATGCTAACTTCAAACAATGTTGATCTAATAAAGGAATTATGTCAAAGGAACCAGATTTTTGTCCTCATAATGAACGTCAAATTTGGGACTAAACCCTAAACTAAACCTGGACTTGACCAGGACTAAATTAGGACTAGAACAGAACCAAAACAAGTCCACATCAGGATAATTTAAGACCAAATAATAATAAGACCAAGTGTGAACAAACCTTTAGAGTATCCCTGACCGATGATAGTCTCCCACATCTCTCACTTTTCTTTAATGTCATTTCTATATAAACCTTTGAGTTATTAAAAAGGGGTCTTCAGTAAAAACTAAAAAACAGTTTGCATTATTATTATCTTTTGACGTAGAGTTTACGTACTGAAAAGCGTGACTGTACATGAAAGCAGAAAATATTCTCATGTTTCTGTACCAGTTAATAGACAAAACCACAGGGGCTTTTTACCTGTAATTTCCCATTTGTCTTCATTAAGGCTAAGGGATATCACACAGCTGTCTGACGTCAGTGCTGTACAGACCACAAGCTGCATCGAAAGAGAAAATTTACCTCACGTCTGGGTGCATCCGGTTCAGTGCAGGTGAGTAAGTCAGCTACAGTTACACATAAAACCACATTTACAAGGCAAAATTTGATTAAGACATGGCTAGTAGTAAGGATAGACTCTACTGCTGTATAAAACTGATGCGTATTTTTAGTCTTTAATGTCTCCATAGGTGAATTTGTCTTTTGCATTTCTGCTCAGGGTATGCAGATATGATACTGGTGTAGGATATCAGCGCAGATATTGAACATTTTGATGGATCAGATATCGGTCCCAAGATATCGGTTCAGTCAGTATCCCATTTTGGTCTATAAATTGGTGTAATAAGACAATTTACTGAACAGTGTTGGCCCAAAGCACCTCATAGTAATGAACCTGTTTTTTTTTTTTCTTTCAAAGTTGTTCTGTAATTACCCTTTATGATAAATGCATTACAAATCACATGTGGACAATTGTTTCCCATACCCCATTTGTTTTGAAAGAAAATAAACGATGTGGGGCATCGACAAATACTTAAAACCCAAGTATCGACATTGGTATTGAAAAATAGGTAAATAAATAAACTGGATTGGTGCATCCCTAATTTGTGTGACAAAGTGGTTAAGTATATTTGAAATCATAATATTATGTAAAATGTCCCAGAGTCTGCAGTCTCCCAAACCCCTAGTCAAAGAACCTATTTCCATTTGGTTTATAACACATCTGAAGAGACAAACCATTTAGTGGCTTGTAAATAATTCAAACAACCCCAAAGTCATTCTCAATTTGAGCTCTGCTAAAAGCTGAATTTAACACTGAAGAGGAAGAGTGGTGCATGACATTGGGTACAGTGTTTCATGTTGTGTGTGCAACTCAAATGAAGATATTGTGCTAAAGTGTTTTTATTTGTTTTTTGAACTATCAGAAAAGTGAATTATGCAAAAGAAATTTAAAAAAGTAAATTCTCAAAGATATGTGATGATGTAAATGGCATCAAACATCTCAAACAATGATGAGTCTGCCCACAGGAGGGAGGTGGACCGGTAGTCAACTTGGTGCAGTGGCAACAATCTGGAGGTCAATGCCCAGAAGACAGTGAACATGATCGTGGACCAGGTCACAACACCCGTCTGAATATGACAATGGCAAAAAAAAAACGTATTTTGATTCTGTTATGATTTAATGTGCTCTCATGTAAAAGACTAACAGACTGGCAATAAAGGTTCAATTCATTCATGTCTAAGGCGACGAGTACCTTTCAGTAAATTTATTAATTAAAGGTTGTATAGAGGATTTCCAAGGAACGAGAAATCCAGCGACTGTTTGTCCTTTTTCAAATGTTGCGCATGCGTGAAACCACCCCCCCTCCCCTACAGCTCCCTACGTAGAAACGCCTTCTCCCGCCTCCTCACTACGCCAGAAACAGGTTTGTTTACAGCCGGTGAGCTGCACATGACTTGTAAACAACTAACTACAGTGTTGGTTAGGCAAGGCGGAGAAGTGAGGAGCGGGGGGAGCGGGTGTGCGGACATTTCGTTCGCGGACGAGAAGTGAGGAGCAGGGAGAAGAGCGGAGCAGGGAGAGAGGAGAGAGGAGAGAGGAGAGAGGAGAGGGGAGCGGTGCGCGGAGATTCCGTGCCCGTAGAAGTGAGGAGAAGGGGGAAGAGCGGAACGGGCAGCGGGGACAGGAGTAGGAAAGGGGAGCAGAGAAGGTTGCGCGGAGATTCAGTGCGAATGAACTAGCTACAACACGCAGCAGCAAGCGGACTCTTTCTTTGCCTTGAAAATTACGTTTTCAGACATAGGATATCGCTTTCGTGTCCTGAAAAACGTTTGACTAGCTCTTGGAAATAAAGTACGTTTTCATAATAAGCAGAAGTTACCTGTCCAGGAGTAATTTGGCGACCAATGCGTCAGTCTTTAGACCCTGCGTCTGCTTCAGTCGCGCCATCGCTGGAATGAATCTACAAGAATCACCTTAGTTTGGCTTCGCTGCTTTTCCCCTTGTCTTCTTCTTTCAGCGACCTCAAAAACGGACTTTCTTTTGCGGCTAACTGCTCCTGGATTCTTGTCTGCCATTGCAACAAACTTTGTGCTAACTGCGAGGAAGATATAGGTCAAAAAAAGCCGCTAAGAACTGTTGCATTGGTGGAGTAAACAGCGTCTGTGCGTCTTGCGTCTGTGGACTGCGTGACAGGCGTACGTAAACCACGTACCGGCGGCGCGCAGGCAGGTCAGTTACGCTAGAAACGTAGGGAGTTTGATTGATAGCCTGTCAGCTAACAGATAACGAGGCAGTGTCGTTATCTATTGGCAAATGTTTAGCCCCACCACGTCCAGAGTTGATGAATTTTTATTCTCTTTTTTTTGGTCATCATAATTACAAGGCTACTGCACCTCTATAATGCTATCATTGACAACTTGAAACAAAAAAAACAAAAAAAAAATCCTCCATACAACCTTTAATATTATTCCACACTGAACTTTCATTCTTTTTAAATTCCCTAAACTAAAATAACTACAAAACCTCTTCTCCAATCACATTACATGTTGAGCAATGTATTCTTTACCATACATACCAACCCATGACACAGACCAGTGGTTCTCAAAATGGGCATGTTTGGTCACGCAAGTCACCAGGGATCATTATGGAAAATACATTACTTGAAAAGTCTCCTAAGATCCAAAAGAGCTCCATACTTTCTTCTCAAGTGCCCCTTTGGGTGTCTCTACAAAACCATCTGCGAGTTGTAAATCAGCAAATACAAGAAATATCCACTAATGTGATTCACAGTCAAAAGAAGTATATAAAGAAATTTACAAGTAAACAGCAAAGCAAGCATTAAAAAATCAAAATATCTTTTGTGCCTTTTTTCTCGCATTTCACAGAAATCCATCAGGTCCAGTCCATAAACATAAACAAAGTAGTGTGAGAAGAGATAAAAGTTTAGCCCACTACAAAAGGCTATCTTCAAATCAAAAGAATGTTTGAATTATTTATAAAGATATAGTAGTATATATGGTGTTTAATAATGAATGAGCTAGAGATTATAATCCACATCCCTTTCTCAGTGAAATGCTAAAAAATGCACGTCACGTATAATTGGAAAAAAAAAGGGGATTTGTAGACTGCTGCAGGTTGAACATAATCTAGTTAACCACAGGGGCTAAATATGTCTCATTTATTCACTGAAAAAAAAGGTTGCTGGATTTGTGTAAAAAAGTTATGGAAAGCGGTTGAAACTTATTTTGATCCCCTCTACACATATTTTTTCTCAGAACATGAACGTCACTTTTTTATGTTGATGAAATTTGATCAAATCATGCTGAATATGCATATTTATCTTATGTTACCTTATCGTGAAATGTATAAGTATGTATAATTGAATTTAATTGATATAATTCTGTAAAATAATACAAAAACAGTCTTTAGTTTTCCACAGTTCTGTATTGTCTTAACAGAATCAAACACACAAGAGCACAAGTACAGAGACACACAGTTTGGAGCTGGACAGTGTGAAGATTTATTCCAGTGAAGAAGCTCTGGTCTCTGCCTGTGGACACAGGAATAACACACGTTGATTATATTATAATGATCTACTCTGTTGTACATGTTTAAATATACTTAAAGTACTTAATACTACAATAATGGACCAGAACAGAATCACAAGAACATTAGAACTGTATCTGCAGAAACAATACTCACCATGTGCTGCTTTTCTTCCTCTAAACACAGTACCAGGTAGGGCATCTGGTATAAAGTCCTCCTAGTGCCACATCACCCTGTAGAAACACAATGACTGTTTCAATAGGAAGTTCATTTTGAAAAATTCTTTTAAAATCATTTTAGTTGAGTTACTTACTTTGTTCATCTGTGGTCTGTGTTTTGTTTGTTCTCAAACATCTTCCTTTTTTTCTGAAACATCAGCTATAACATTCAGCACATTCAAATCTTAGTTCAACTGTCACACTGTTGTAGATGGACAGTCAAATACAATTTGTTTTATGGAAACACTCCTTACTTTAACTCTAATTCCAAATAAAACACCACAAACATGTTTTAACAATGACGACATTCTAGTCCAGAGAAGCATATAAAATCTTTGAAAAGTCTTACCTCCAGATCAGCTCTCATAATCCTCCTGCTCCACACTGTATCTCTGCTCCTGGAACTGTCCTGTGTCCTGTTACATTTGAATTTTCCCTCCAAACGTTTTGAGGAAGAGAATTCGAGAGGGAGGAGCCTCACCAGAAATTATAACAAAGTCATGTTTCCTCAACCTGATTAAAACATGCAGGTCTAACATCGACCACAATCAAGTGACCTTTGTAAGATTTAAACACGCTGGACAGAGAAACGTAAAAAAAAAAGTCATGTTTTTGTTGTCAAATTTGTTTTTGCAATTTGAGCAACCCCTCTCGGACCATTTTTTCAGTGTTCTTGGTCTTAGGAAGTAGCATTCCCCCAGAGCTACTGCCTTGACCTTTCTTGACCTTCATTTAAAAAATTTTCCTAAAAATTAGTGTTTACTGGACCCATTCAGGGAGTCAGGGAGTTAATTTTAACTTAATTCAAATACAAAACTAAATTCAACAAAAAGGCAAAAGTTTTCTGACCAACTCAATTGTTGGCCAAATCCATTTAAAGAGTATCATGGACATTTGGACAATTATTATAATTGTGAGAACTAAGCCTAACATTTTTGTGTAGTGTAATGTCCCCTAGGGTTGGACTGCCCTTTAGATCACCAGAAAGCTAAGTCCTTTGTTTAAGAGGGGATTGTTGAGTGGAAGAAACCTGGACTGTGAGTAAGATGGAGCCTTCTCACCAGGGTTCCGGGCTGGAGTGGGCCAAGTTGGTTCTGCTGCTTGGCTCTTGGTGTCTTCAGTGGTCTGGTGCTGCGACCCAGGTGCCCCTCATGCCCCCCTCAGCAGAGTGGCTCACATGTCTTCAGACCAGCCTGGACCCCAACTGCACAGAGACAAACAAAAGTGACTGAGAGAGGGGGAGAAAGTTCAGAGTGCGTTAAGTGGAAGTACAGGGCCTTCACAGCTGCGAACTAATAAGAAAACATAACCACTGGTCCACAGAAAACCAAGAAAGCAAGCACACAAATTAGAAACCACACCCACATTTAAAATGGCTGTGCACTGGAGGATACCTTTTTCCCTGTTATAGTAGTAGATATAGCAAAGATATATCCATTCATTTATCCTTTTTTGCACATTTATATTAGTACAGTTATATTCTGCACAAAAAGTGTTTACTGTGCATGCAAATGAAACACCATGTCCTGGATTGGCTTATAAAGGGGAATAATTTACATCAGGAGCCTGTGTTGCTCCATACATGTGAGATAAGCTTCTGTTGTAGGTATATACTGCTTGCACCCCTCACTTCCTGTTAACTAAACATGGATAGGAAGTCGTATACACGCGCCACACGAAGCTAAGGGTTATTTTAAGACTAGAACACAGTTTACCGCTGTGACAAAGACAGTGACATCCATCAGACTGACAACTCAATAGTGTAAAGTCCTCAGAGTTAAACAGCTGTAAAGAGCAGGGAGGTGCAGGAAGAGGAAAAAACACACAGAGGAGGGGTCAAGTTGAATTTACATTATGAGCCATGATACAGTAATAAAAACAAGTATGATGAATGATATTTTACACACTTTATGGTACACTATGTAACTTTTCTGGTGGAGGGTCCCATGTAGATGTTATTATTTTGCTTGGAATGTTCAGGAATGTGCATTTAACTAATCAAAATGTAACATTACAGACAAAGCAACAACAAGCAAAGACAAACATCTCTATAGACACAAGTAAGTGACACCACCAGGCTATGTTACATTATATCTTAAATCATAGGATATCTGTGGAGCTGACCCCACTCACTCAAATTTAATGTCATATTGTGGAATATTCCAGACAAACCAGGTGGTGGGTTCAAAACAGAAAAGTTACACACCGCAGAAATGTGTCCATCCTTCAATGCTGCTCGGGGCATCTCCTCAGGCGCCATGAGCACCACATTGCAAAGACCCATCTCTGTGATCTTGTTGCTAGACTTGGTCAGAACTACCTCAGCTATTGAATTTTTACCTGTGGTGGTGGATGTTTGGTTTGATGGAGAAAACTGGAGTGCCTGAAGGAAACCCACTCAGACATAGGTAGAACATGCAAACTCCGCTCAGGCCTTGGTGACCCAGGGATCCATCGCCTTCTGACAGTAAATCTT